AACAATTTGGGAGAGGGAAGAGAGTAACTCACCCACACAAACTCTACGTTATGGTTTTATGCGTTTGCCGACCAATGATTTAAAAACTGGATAAAGCAAGACAAATGGTGAAGTTGAAGATAGAGAAAAAAGACTCCGCATCCGTAAAAGGGAGCGTCCGCTTAAGGAAGCACGATTCCTTCCTGAAACGAGGTGAACATTTTGTGACCAAGAAATTTGTCCGGCGATAAGAGCTTTTACTGTATATGCTTTGTTTAGGAATTAGTTACATTTCAGAGGTTCAAAGCAAGGTTATTTATAAATCATATATTTTAGTTAAACCATTCCGAATATCAAAGATTTGTGAAATTTTTGTTTGAGAATTTGTTTTGAGATGTGTACAAATTTGGAAAAAATAGATTCATAGCTTAACTGACTTAATTGAGTTGAGAAATAAACGTCGTATGATCGCGATACGTTGCACTGACGTATCGTGATGAGTGGAACTTTCGAAGAGTCATTCCCCTTACTCGGATCTATTTGAAATTTTAGGAAAATATTTTAATTTTTTCTTTAGAATCTATAAACCTGTACCAACGTTTTCTCCAATTCTCGAAACGGTTGGTGAAGTAAATTTCCGAAAAAGCCTACAAGGACGTAGCGATTCACGTTTAATATTTTCAATTGGTCCTTCGAATTTGCTGAATAGCCGGAAGTCACAGGGAACTAAACGACGCATAACACTCAAAAAGTATAATGTAAATTATTAAATGAACATAAAAACAAAACAATTCATAAAAAATATCACATATTCAAGAGAAATATATTCAATACAAGTAAATATATTATAAGCATACTTAAAATAGTATTTTCATATATATTTACTACAATGCCGAAATTTCCAGAATCCGGTTTTAAATAACAAAAAACAATAAAAGAAAACAAGAAGCCGAAGATAAATTAGGATTCAAAATTATCTTAAAAATATTGCATCAATGTGTCAATTTTGAAGTTTTTTTTCTAAAAACTACTACATAGGTGAAACACATAAGGGGTATTCGCTTGCTCTTGCAGGATTGCAGATTGCAAAAATACTATACAGAAATATACTAGGGCACGAGAGCACCCATTGCAGAATCTAGTGATATATGAACGACTGATCCGATCATTTTATTGTGAATAACTATTATTATTATGCATGGCCATTGTGAATTGGCGCACCTTCTTCATACATTTTTAACAAAAAAAACTGTAACAAATTTATGTAGAAATTATAAAATCTATTTAAAACTTACCTTCCTCAACAATTTAACGACGTAATATGTTTTTTTTGCTAATACCCTTATAATATTTTTGTCTTAAAAAGAGGTTCCTGTTGTAACTTTTAATGGCGAAAAATATCCGAGTCCTACTATATAATATTAAATTAGCATCGCTGTAGTTATTATTACAACATTTATAAGGGCGGACATGCTTCATCTTATTGAACAATAACTGCCCTACGTCTGTTCTCTGACAAGTGCTATCAAACTCCTTGACAAAAATAGTTCCTATTTCTTCCAAGTAACACAAAAATTCCCAATCCTTTCCTACGAAGAGAAATATTCAACTGAAATCTGGTCTCCCAAGTACGGTAAGGGTTGAGATCAAGTGTGTGTTCTAAATATTTCTAAATATATATATTTGGAAGTTTATTGTTTTATTTAGAAATACTCAAATATTATTTAACAAAATTAAATGTTGTCTGGGTAAACATCCGTTCGGCAAAGCAGTTTGTATAAAAAGGGAAGAATGATAGTATTCTGGGAAATGGGTTGCTTACAGTTAGAATGAAAAAGGTAGTACAGCGTTGCTAAAGGATAGTGTTGTAAACGTAGCAAAGGGTTGCTTATAAGCGGTGAACACGGCGTTGCCACATATTGATACTAAATATGTAAATGCATTGTCTTCAAAAAATCTACCTCGAAGTAGCTATCTAATCCTAGCCTATTGAACGAATGTTCAGATCGTGAAATTCCTTGGAACTCTTGCCTGCATTAAGCGGTAATTGCACACACTTTCTATTATTTCATTGGAAATGTTAAGAGAAAAGCTTTCGTTGTGAGTTATAGGTCCGCAGTTTCCGATTGTTACTAACGTAACGCAATCTCCTTATTTTTTAAAATAAATTGCAGAAAATGTAATGTTACACATTTACCATCGCCCCTTATTTGTCAATATTGCCCTGACATAGCCATCACAAGAATCGTTTTAAACTATTTATCCCTAATCGTCTTTAAAAGCTTAAAAGCCTCGTCTAAAAATTGTAACTGTTCGGGTGTTACTAGAAAAACATTTTTACTAGGCAAAATCGCTTCAAATTTACTATTATTAAATATATCGAATAATTTATTAATAAATAAAATATATTCCGCCGCATTATAAAAACTGTACGATTGTAAATCAAATGGCTGAAACCATAAATGGACAACATTCCAAAAGGATGTAACTGAAAACTTGACTAGCAAGTTTGACACTCATTTTTGAATATTAATATGCGAAATATGGGCATCTGAATATTCCTAACGTGATTCTGAGAGTATTCGTTATATCGGCCAAACTTATGGGACAGGATTTGAAACTTACTTTAGTTTCACAAATTTCGAGACAATTTCAGGTATTAAAAAAAAAAAAAATACCTCTTTGTCACCTCTTTATGGGCGCTCTTCGCAAACCCCTAAGACCCCAGTTAATTTAAGAAAGTTAGAACTCTGATGACAAACAAAATGGCATGGATTATGACCTATGTTTTGTAGCTGGGTAATGGCCTCAAAAAAATATATTTTTGGCTACATCTTTTTAACCAAGGACAAAAAACTGTGATAGGGGTGAGAAATAGGTGCTCCATCAATACCTTGAACTATTCGAGTCATGGCATTATTACTTAGCCTACTCGTGCGACTTTCATCGCTGTAATCCCCAATAGCAATTTTATCGAATTTAGGCAAATATGGATATGACTCTTAAGTGCCATTTCATCACACGATATTTTATATACACGAATTTTTTATTCCTGGAATTCGGAAATCTAAGGATTGGCTTAAGGTGTCTAGACGCTGGAGCTGATAAGAAGTATACACCTATAACCAATGTTGTAAAATAATTATCGCTCTACAACCTTTAGGATGTCCATTAAAATGTTATATAATATTGCGCACTATACTATTAGCTGTGGAGGAAAATTACAATAAAAGTGGCCATTAAATCAAAACGTTCCCCTTACTCCTTTAATTCCTTTATTCTTTTTCTACTTCTTCTAATTTGCCTAATATTCAAGGTTAAGCATTTGAAGTTATTCACCTCTATGCAATTAATAATTGTATCTTCGGAGAAATTCGAAAAACGAACAAGAGAAGACGAATCATTGTGCACCATGACAATGCGAGCTCTCACACATCGGCTCAAACCAGCGCCATTTTGACCGGCCAAAACGTCGAATTGATGGGTCATCCGCTGTACAGCCCTGACTTGGCACCCAATGACTTCTTCTTATTCCCACACATCAAGAAAATAATGCGTGGTCAACGATTTTCGTCCCATGTTTCCATGTTTTGGAGGTGTTTCAATCGGAGTGGAAAAAGTGCTTCGAAAATTTGTTTGAGAGCATGCAAAAATGTATAAATCTTGATGGAGAATATTTTTAAAAACAATAAAACCATTTTCGTTGATAAATATTCCTATTTTCATTATTAGGCCAGAAATATATATAGCAGTCCTCGTATATTATATATGAATTGTGTTTGCTTTGTCCACTTTAATGATGCGATGTTTCTCTCACGAAATGATACGTATGCTTGTTTGTGCACATTAGTTAGTCCGATTTAACATGTAAGCAGCAAATTTGCAATCCATTTTACATTTCTCTTGTAATTACCAAATCATATATATGAAGAAGCAATAGCATAAAGGGTAAATGTTCAGGAGAGCGGCTTTTCCGAAAACGTGCACCAATTTTCACGAGAAATGTCTTAAAATACTCCTTTTAGTTCTACTTTACAATTATGTATGTATGGCGCGTGCCTTTAAAAACAATACTTTCTTTGTTTTAATACAAAAACATCGTGTTTCCCATAATTAAAAATTAACTTTCACACTTAATACGTCTTTAGATGTTAAAAATATATTTTCTATCAATTATATACACGTAATTATTGATGTTGTTTATTTTAGCTATAGGACAAATTGATTTTTATGTTATTTTTATAAAAATATAAAAAACTTCACAATCATTTCACTTCAACGAAAAGACAATGTCATGTTCGAAATTATGGCATCGCTGCTGTAAATTCGAATGGACACTATTGATTCATGCACTGATCGTTTTCGAATTATCAATACTGTCAATATGAGAAATATATAATAAGAAAATTTATAATTCATTATTATTGCAGAAAGAAGAAGAAGTTGGACACAGAAGAGTTATGAACACCGGGGTTTTTTACCGAGCGCTCGAGTTAGTTATTAGTTTTTTAGTATTTATTTCTCATTTTTACCAATTTCTTTTTATTTTTCCAATTATTATTTTTTTTTATTATGTATTTCTCATTTTTACCAATTCTCGATCAGACTCGAATATTGAGAATATCGATATTTAATATCTTTTTATTTTTCCAATTATGATTATTTTTCTATTATGTATTTCTCATTTTTACCAATTTCCGGTCAGACTCGAATATTGAGATTATCGATATTTAAACTTCTTTTTAATTTTTCAATTATTATTTTTCTATTATGTATATCTCATTTTTATCAATTCTCGTTCATAGTATGTTTTCATATAACGAGATTATCTCCATTAACGAGATTAACTCGATAATCCGTAATTAAGAAACGAGATTTACCATACAAAATTCCTCTCTAGTTAATCCGAGATTAAAAATTAATCTCAATTAAAAGTTAATCTCAGATTACACAATTAGATAATCAGTGTTATTCCTAATTTTATCGATAATTTTTGCGAAAAGGAGGAGAAATGTCAAATGACAAAGTAAACCAAAATGGCCGACAGCATGGGAAAGAGGTTGGTAAACTTTTTTTTAATAAAGTTATTATTTCAAATATATGTAAATTTGTTAATTTTTCAGGAAAAAGAGATTAACTTGGAATAAGGAGGTTTCCAAGGATATGGCTGCAGAAATGGCCACAAAGGGGCATGTATATTCCGCTAATGAAATTCGTGTGAAAATACACAACTTGACAAATAAATACAGGTAAGTTTATTTAATATGCATGTGCATTTGATATAAAAGTTTTCAAAAAATTTACAGAGATGAGAGGAAATCTATTGGTCCCTCTGGCGGCAGCCCTTCGACATGGGAATTCTACCCTAAAATAAATAGTATCTTCGGGAGCTATAAAAGCTTCAATTTGGAAACATTGATGGAGGAGAGCACAGGTTAGTAAAACAAAATAGAAATTTAAAAAGTTTATATTTATTTTTATAAACTAATTTATTACAGTACACGAAGTTGTAGACTGTGCATCACCCCTTACGCTGGATTCCCAGGAAGAATTGCCGTTTGTTGACGAGGAACCTGCAAGAAAAAGAAAAAACATATTTCAAACAAAAATATTCAAAATGAATTTTTGGAGGAATTCCGGGCTTCAAATAAAAGAATTGCGGCGGAAATTAAAGCAATTTAATAGGATGGCAGGGAGGCCCTTGAAATTGAAAGAAAAAGAAATGACATCCTCGAAAAATTCTTGGAAGCATTTAAGGAAAGCATGTAACAACATATCCCTGAAAACGTGAGAATTAGTATTGTTAATGTGTGATATATTAATATGAAAAATTAATTTACTGTAAAAAATTAAAACGTTAGAATTACATTTTATATATATGCATATGTATTTCTTTTTTTAATGAATTAGTATTGTTAATATGTGATATATTAATATGAAAAATGAATTTACTGAAAAAATGAATTCATAAAGTAAAACATATAAACTTACATAAAAATAGAGCTATAGATTTTCTGATGTTCTCAGCATTAGGGTCGACGGTTCCAGAAATGAATAATGGATCAGGTTGCTTTCGTGGGTGTGCGCTTTCGAAATTTGTTTGCATTTGCAATCATTTCGTGTTTATGCTATCATTCATTTCATTTACAAAATTGTGCAAGACGCAAGAACATTTTATTATTAATATAGCGTTTTTAATATCGTTGTCAATTCCTTTCCCTAACAACCCTTCGAGATTTAGATAAGTGGTAATTGAAAATATTCTCGTGACCCTCAGCGGATTGGTTATAGGGGTAGGGCTTCATTAAAAACGGAGTAAAGCGAAACGCCGAGTCTCCAAGAACTACAATTGGGACATTATTGTCACAAAGTTTTTTCGCTTTCTCCGTAAGCAAAGAGTTTTGCAAAATTCTTTTCAAGTCGGATTTTTCAAATATTTGGGAATCATTACAACGACTAGGTGCTCCAACATTAATGTACATAAACCTATATCTAAAAAAAATGTTTTAAGTATTTTATAAAACATGTATTTTGTTAACTTACCTGTAGTCTACGAGGGCTAGTAAAACAATTGAGTATCAACCTTTGTAGTTGAAATAGTCAACAGCATCAGACGCGGAGGGCCTAATCTCAATATGACATCCATCTGAAATAAATTGTATTTGCATGTTATGGGTAAAATATTTCAAATTCATAAACTTACCTACTGCGCCTAGACATTGGGGAAATCCAATTTTTCTAAATCCTTCAACGCACTCCGTAATTTTTTTTTGCGTAAGAAATGAGCTGGCTAAATATTTAGGCGATAGTATGTTCCACACCGCTCTGCAAAAGTCTTTAAGGATAAAACATACACACGCTTTGGAAACCCCGAATAGTCTTCCAACTGTTCTGTACTCAGCAGAAGAACCAAGGGCATACAAAGCGATAGCTATTCTTTTTTCTAATGGAATACATTGCCTGTATGTAGTATCACGTTTGCCAATGTTTGTTAGCTCATTACATAAAATTTTGAATGATTCCCGACTCATTCTGATTTTTTTTTTTGCATTTTTATCTCAGTTAATATTTTTTCCATTCTAAGTTGCTGTCTTTTCCGTATTTCTGACAATTTCTTATTACTGGCAGCAATCTGCATAATCAAGTGTACAATCGCGTTCTTTTGTTTTTTTTTCCATATCTTTAATTTTTATTATTTTTTCTTTTTTAGTTCACGAGTCAAAATATTGATTCACGAAATTTTACAATTCACCAAGAAGAATACAAATACAACAAATTTGACAGTTTTTTTTTTTTTTTATTTTATTTTATAAAAGCTTAC